TATTAGTGTGAAAAGAATTTATTTTCTTTCAAAAGCAGAGGGAAAGAAAGACTTCTTTCAACTACTCATATATATTATATTGTCACAAAGATAAGTGTGGTGAGTACAAAACACCTAGTAAATCTCATCGAGCTCCCATTAAAAGGTGAGATAAGTATTTTAAAAAAACATGTTCTTTAATATTAAAAGGCAGAATAGTCTAAATAGCACTTATACTTGTGTCACTTTGTCATGCCGGTCCCCAAACTTATCATTTTGTTAGTTGAACACTTACACTTGTTCAAATCATATATAATAAACGCTTATGACAGAAGGCTACCAGTGCGTGTAATACAATCTCATACATGTAGGACGCCACGTCATTACTAGTGCCACACAAAAAAATAAACTATTGAAAAATAGGACTGGCCACCCAAACCTAATATTTTCTGTCATTTTACACTTTATTGATTATTCCACGTCATTGTTTATTTTCTCAGATAGTATTTTAAAAAAAAAATTGAAGAAAAATCCAAAATGCCACAACAAACAACCTCATAGCCACCATTACAACCTCTTTCTTTATCTGACCACCGTAAACTATTTCCTAACTACCAGCAAAGATCGTCCTTTCAAAATCCCACCCAACAACAGAAGATTTCCTAAGGGAGACAGTAACAACGAAGCGTGCAGGCGCACAAAAGTGCTGCAAATTTTCAACAAAAAGCAAAACTCCAGATATGCAAGAACACTAAGCAAAAAATCAGTAGTCGTTGGGGTAATGAACGCCCAAAGATTCGGACTCATTAGCAGCGAATTGTAACCTTGATTCACCAAGTTATTTCAGCCAGCCTAACCAAAATAAGTGCAATGGAAAAACAGTAACAAGACAAAGCCAAGAAGATGTTCGCCCGAGAATATGAGTTTTGCCGAAAAGTGTACAAATACCAACAATCAGGGCCACTTGACAAATTATTCCGGCGTGATCAGTTCCAAATAGCGAAACACGGTAACAATAACCAAAACAGATCTGTTCGTCAACCTAAAGAGTCGTCAGAATTAGTGACGCTACTACTACGGGTAGGACACCGGAGCAGCGTCATAGGAGGAACGAAACTCGCCGGACCCCTAATCAGTTGGGTTTTGATTAAACAGAAAAAGAAATAAGAAATGTAAAAGATTATTTTGTTAAAGAAATAGAGAAAAATAGTATATTTCTGCCTGATTTTGTGATTTTGAAGGTTCATCCATTGTTTACAGTAGTGTGGAGGGGGAAAGAGGGATTGGGGGCGAGAAGAAAGTTGGGAGAAACTGAGAAATTTAAGAAAATTGGGAAGGGGAGGGTGGTAATTTCGATTAACTTATTAACTTTACTTTTTTTTAGTTTAATTCATTTTTAATCAAAATCATTAGTATCACTCTCTTTACACGCATGTGTTATACATAATTTGTCCACCTCCGCTATGTCAATGCCACATAAGCTCGGTCAATGGTCAGAATGATTTAAAAAATTAGTTTTGAACGAGTGTAAGTGTTTAATTGGCAAAAGGATAAGTTTGGGGACCGGCATGACAAAGTGTCATTTAAGCTATTCTACCATATTAAAATTATATTTCTAATGTATATCAGTATATTTCCAAAATAGTAATTAACACATGATAAATTATTTAACAATTATTTTTTGGAATCTAATGTTGTCCGTATATTTTTAACTTTAGGGAGCTTCCTCAAGACTCCAACATGGTTTCTTCTTGTATATTGTATGCGTAAAAATCTGTACTTAGAATATTTAAGATAAGATAATACTAAATAAGGAATTTTCGAGTTGTTGTTAGTCGAGATGGGCTAAGAAGCAGCAAGATCCGTAGTCGAAGAGTCGACGAGAACTGTGGTCGAAATGTCAATAATAATCGAGGTCGAGCACCGTTGATAGAGTTGTAACGGCTAGTTTTCAATCTAGGATGTTGAATGGGAATATTTTATTGGATATTCCCTACGCTTGCACTATTATGGTTTCATAGAAACATGTCCCATATAAATAGAAAAGAGAGATAATGATAAAGACATGTGATATTTATTTGTCAGAAAATACTTTGACAAAAAGATTCTCTTTCTCTCTTTCTGTCTTTCTCTTGCTAAGATACAGACATCACATTTTCACTAAGATTCTTATCTATACTATTCCATATTTTTCTATCAGATCCGAGAATAACTCGAATATTCAAAGATTTGTTTGTCATACATCATTGTTAGGAGGAACAACCATCTATTTCGTCATTTATTGGGTGAATCATTCCTCCTCTTTACTTAAATAATATTTATTGTTATTCATTGCTATTGAATAATGCTATATTATTGCTCATGCTTATTTGGGATAATTATTGCATATTGTCATCACTATCTGACCCAACCCATCTATTATTTATTGCATCCTTGAAAGTTTCATCTAAAGATATTATTGTTAACTAAGTTTAACCCCTAATCACATAAATTTAATTATTTAAACCAAGATTCGTATTTTTAGGTCAAACATATATATCATGATATCTTATCATCCTCCTGAATGATATCTGATCAGGAGGGCATATGTCGTCTCACCGTAATATCGTACAGTTTCAACTAGAGATATAATAGCAAACATTCCTACCCCTTTTGAAAATCCAATATATATTGGCACGTATGATTTGTAGGCATTGAACTTGTACGTCCAAAAACCTTCACATACCATATCATAAAATCTATATTTATAGTATAAGTTATAGATCGATTCCGCACTTAAATATTAATGCAGAACTCTCGATTTGTAACTGGTGATTAATCTCTGACACGAAACTTTACTAGTATATCTTTGACCTTGCCAATCCTTCAAAATTGAATGGAGAGAGTTAGAAGATAAAGCTTTGATGTGAAGAGGGGATTTTGGTGGTGGGGTTTAAGGCGGTTTATGTGTGTCTCTTGATTGCTGGTAAATTTTTAGCCATTGGTTCTAGAGACGGAGCCAGAATTTAAAGCTTATGGGTTCGAAATTTTAAATTCTTTAAGTTATTAGGTACTAAATTACACTAATAATTTATAATATTCAATGAATTTTTTAAGACAAATACATAATTTGCACAAATACCACTGGGTTCGGCCGAACCCATAACTCCTACTCTCCCTCCCCCATTTGGTTCAACAAATGTGTAGGCCCTAAAAATGTTATAGCAGTGTACTTGGCTTCTAGAATATTTGACTTGTTTGTTACTTCTCCTATTTTCTTTCTAGGGTGACCATTTCCAGAATCCATCTCTATTATAACTAATTTATTTATATTAAATATTTTTATTATTGTTAATGTATTTATAGATGCTTGTGTTAGATTATGAAAATCTTAAATATAATCCTGAGATTTGGCTCGCTTCCGTACAAGATCTCTTCATTTTCTAAAAATATACGTCTCAAATTATTTGTCATTTTAAAAGTTCAAAATAAAATTAATTATTTTTTTCTCATTTACCTTTAGTAGTAATTGTTCTTGAAAATGTGGATGACACATAAATAGAATAAATATTCAATGAAGATAGATTATATTTTAAGATATAAATAAGAATAAAATAGTCAAAAAAAACCTTCTAATTAATATTTCTAAGGGTCGTGTAAAAGATAAATATGACGGATAATTTAAGATTGAGGGAGTAGAAAGTTGCATTGACATATAAATTTGATCAATTAAGTCATTAACTATAAAAGAATTTAATATGGTTTGCTTCGATCTCTCTCCTCACGTTGCCTAACATGAATTCCTTCTTTTTCTCCCAAATTTTATGGAAAAATCATTATCATTCATGCCCCTATTTCATATCTTTAGCAGCAGTATAAATCATTGACTAGGTTAGTCTAAAGTTGATTTTGGTTTAGATTTGTCATTGACTTACTGAACTGAATTTAAGGGCTACCACATGAAAATATTCTTCTAGGCATAAGCTTAGTGTGGCGGCGGTAGGTCCTTCCTAATTCTTAAGTGCTTCTAGAATGCATGTTAATTAAGTAGCATTACTTTATAACGCTAACACTACTCAAAAGTTTTACTCTCTCGGTTCCCATTTAGTTATTACTAGAGTCAAATTACGTGAAATTTGATCAGTACTTTAATATGTATGTTTTCACCATATTAATATGTGAAGAATTGCAAATTATAATATTTTTGTATAATTTTTGAATATTTAAATTTTAGTTTTAAAATATTAAGATAATGTAATCGTATTTAGCTTCAAAAACTAGGCAAATTAACTCTCGCAAAGGGAAATGTGACAAGTAAATGAAAACCATAGGAGTAATATATATAGTATTCAATAATGAATACTTAATTATTGAATATGAAAACTTAATGAATTAATATTACCTCCATGAGCGAAGCTACATGTGTTAAAGGGTGGCCAATTGATCACTCTTTGCCGAAAAATTACATTACATATATAGATAAGATATGAGGTTTTAGCGGTACATAATAACTTAACACCTTTTATCAGGATTTTTTTTTATTTTTCTTAAGTTTGAACACCCTTGAGAAAATTTCTGGTTTCGCCACTGAATTTACCGCACTTTCTCTTGGTAGTTGTTTGGGAAAGAAAATATTGAGGGATTGTCAACTTAATTTTATAAGAGCACATGTATCGTGTTAGGTAAAACTTTTCTATTTAGGAAAGAAAAATATTTTTCTCCACGTACTTAACGTTCTAATTTTCCGAGTTTAACACTACTTCGATAATATTTGAGGTATATTAGGTGTATTACAGTATGTTTACATTATTTTGTTTGGGAGGGGCCTTAGTTCATATTTGAAGATATTTATGTGAACAACGGAAAAAGTAAATGAAACCAATGCTTTCATGTGGCTGTTGATATTCAACAAAATATGCCTAAGGTAGACTTAAAGTAGAATAACCCCTTCTCTTGCCCACATTGCTTTTATTTTTTATTTTTTATTTTCCTATAAATATTGCAGCCTATATAAGCGTAAGATATCAGTAACATAATTTTGTAGCAAAACACATTCCTTTCTCACTAATCAAAACCAAATTGATCAAAGTGTCAAAAACACAAAGAAATATGAAGATGCCATCTTCTACTATACTTTCAGAAAAACTCATTAAACCCTCCTCTCCAACTCCTTCTACTCAAAGATGGCACAAACTCTCTCTTCTTGATCAAGCCTTCAGCAATATTTACATTCCCTTTGCCTTTTTCTACACCAAAAAACAACTTGATTCTGTTTCAATTAATCCAACTCAAATATCTCATCTTCTTGAAAATTCATTATCTAAATTACTTGTATCATATTATCCATACGCTGGAAGACTTAAGGATAATACTATCGTCGATTGTAACGATGTCGGTGCTGATTTTTTACGTGTCGAAATTAATATCCCTATATCTCAAGCACTTCAAAAACATAATAATGTTATTGAAGAGATGGTATTTCCACGAGATTTACCTTGGTCAAATTGTACTAATCGTGGTTTAGTTGTTGCTCAACTTAGTTACTTCAATTGTGGAGGAATTGCTATTAGCTTGTGTATATCTCACAAAGTTGGAGATGGACATAGTAGTTACAATCTTTTTCATGATTGGGCCAAGATAACCCGTGAGCCCAATGGGCCAAAACCCGTTTTACAATATGTCCAAGAATCCATCTTCCCTCCACCTATTACTGGTACCCCTTTTTTATCTCCTGTTTGTACATCAAACAAAGAAGATTGCATTCAAAGAAAGTTCATTTTTCCAATCCAGAAACTTAACAAACTCAAGGCATTAATAGCTGCTACATCAAACGTTCAAAATCCGACACGCAATGAAGTTGTCAGTGCACTTATATTTAAGTGTATTGTTGCTGCAGTGAAAGTAGTTAACTCCGGTAAATCATTTCAACCATGGATCATGTCGCAATCTTTTGACTTGCGACATCAAATAGATTTGCCACCAAATAGTATTGGAAACATTCTGACGTCCACTTATATATCTATAGCCGCTGAGAAGTACATGACATTAGCAAATATAGTTACAGAAATGAGAAAGGAAAAGCAACGAGTTTGTGATCGAGATAATGTTGAAGATAATCTATTTCTTAAGAAGTTTCTGGAACTAGCAACAGAAGAGAAAAATTTCTTAAAAGTTCAAAATAATATGTGCAATTTTAGTAGCTTAGTGAAATTTCCAGTACATGAAATTGATTTTGGTTGGGGGAAACCTGCAAAAGTGAACATAGCAAACGGTTTACATAATAAGGTAGTTTTCTTGGTTGGTAACCTAAGTGGAGTAGATGCATTTGTTTCACTAAGTGCAAAAGTAATGTCTGTCTTTGAAAAGGAGAAGGAGCTTCTTGAATTTGCTGCAGCAGTTCCAACTTTTTAGAGAGGATCTTAGTATCTTCGGATTAATTCGGAGTAGCGACGGTTAAAGTTTGAAGTTTTGAAGTTTGCGGAGGATCTCATTCATCCCACTACAGCTCGGCTAGATCCCACTTTAGTTTGCTGTAGAGTTGTCTCCGAGGCTATAGGAATGTTGCGTATTGTTCTTCAATGTATGAATAAATCTTTAAGACGATAGAATTATCATTTTTTTAATTGAAAAAACTTATCCGCGTGCAATGCAAAATGTATTGAGTTTCTAACATTTCCTTCCTTCTACTGGCGTGAACTGTCCTCCACAAAATATTTTCTACTTTTCCTTTCCTTTCCTTTTATTCTTTTATGTTCTTTTGTTTAATCACATTGGTATTCGCTGTCGGTTGCCCTTAGTTTTTAAAAATATATGCTCTTTTAACATATTTGAAGATACATATTCATTTGCAAATGGTAACTTTTCTATACACGTTTCGCGTAAAAAATACGTAAATTATCCCCTTAATTTGTCTCGAAAAGTCAATTGCGTATTCTAACTTTACAAGCAATCTCTTACCCCTATTTTTGTTTAAAATGGATGGTTTATACAATTTGATGGGCAAAGAAAGCGCAGGAATATAAAATTTATTGAATCAAATTCAATAAATAATTGAATTATATACTACACCAAATAAATATTGCGTCCTAAGATAATTGGATTGATTAAGTTCAATATGTATAGATTAAATAAATAAGTCCAAATTTATTGGGCTAACCCATTTAATTGGACTACAAGTGATGAACTCTCTGTTTACCCGTAAAACGGTACAGTTGAATTTGTTCGTGGTTTCTAGACAAGTGAATTAATTTGATCCAAAAGTTAATGAAATAACTCATGAAATATAAAATACTTAGCCTTAGAATGTAGAGGGAACGACAGAGCTGATGAGTCTGGGAAATGGTTTTCGGGCACAATAATGATGAGATCAAAAGTGAGAAAATAAAATTATATTAAAATATTGTATAGAATGTAGTGTAAGTTAGCCAGAAAATTCATCTCCATTACAATGATAACTCAGCTCTCTATTTATAGCTATGTCTAGGGAAGAAAGTCCTAGGATCATGCCCTTCTTTAATGTCAATTATGAGGGTCATTGATGAAGATGTAATGTTAGACATAAATGCCAAATTCCTTGTAACGGGTCATCATCCTTAATGCTGCAAAATATTATGTATTAAATGTTACCGGGCGCAAAGCATTTAATACTTCTTTTATGATTGTTATTTCTTCCGGTGACAAGCGGAATAGCTATGTTCGGTGGCCATCCCCATCTTGTGTTCCATGTGTCCTTCCTTTAAGCGGTCACGTGTCATGTCGTATCTTTCCCTATACAGATAGTTCCCCTGATTTCCGGTGACACAATTTTAAATTACCGGAAAGTCACTACAAGAAAGTATGGAATTTGCAACAATGTTTTAGCAACAACTATAGCATTGTTGGCAAAAAAAAAACAAATAGCAATATCATAGAATTTTTAAACACAAATTTTTTTTTGTTAGCAAATATTATAATATTGTTGCTACATTCTATCATTTAGATAATTGATTTTAAATTAAACATATTGGCAACAACTTTTTTCCAACAATCACAGTGTTGTTGGCTTATTGTAATAAATGACAACAACTTGATAAAATTGTTGCTATTATCATAGAACTTTTAGCCATGACGTTTTCATTGTTACCAACTTTTTATATTCCTATTGTCATATTTATGGACAATATAGTATTTTTAAAATATAAATAGAATTGGTAGAAAATACTTTTTTGGCGGGAATTACTATAACTCCCTTTGAAGTTTTTTGACAGTTGATTAGACGCATGTCTCTCCGCATTTAATGTCCCGAACACGCGTCATCCCACGATTCAACACAGCTTTTGCCGATTATCGAGGTAATCATGGCAATGAATTTAGTCGCCAAAATTTTACTTATACGCATCATCCTCCTCTTATGTACTTCATAATTTCTCAAACTTTTAACTCGCATCTCTATTTCCCAAGTTTTCTCTGATCTTCTTCGAACCAGAAATTTTCCTTCCTTCTATTCTAATGGCTTCCTCTTCAAAACGTGCTAGTTCTTCAAAGGGCAAGAACAAAACTGAGGATTCCGTTCCTCCAACAGTGGGTTCCATCATCCCAAAAAGGCTTAGTACTTCGAAGAATTTTGAAGAAAAATTTTATACTGCTAACCCTCGCACATGGGCTGTTAGTAGGTACCCTTCTTCTATTCGTCCTTCCAGTATTCCTGCTGTGAAGGAGGACTGCCGCTGCACTGAGTTAGATATTATTACTTCTGATTTATCGGAGCGAGTGACCCTTCCCAATGTAACGACCCGGTCGGTCGTTTTGAATATTATAACCACGTTTCCCCATTTACTGCTTAATTTATGCTTTACATTTATTATGTGACTTGCCGGGGGTAATTGGTTCAGGTCCGAAGAGTTTTTTGAATGATTTGGAACACCTAGTTTCAAGGTTTTGAAATTTAGTTGAAAAGGTTGACCAGATGTTGACGTATGTGTAGTGACCCGGAGAATTTTTGCTAAGGAAAAATTAAGATTTTGTGGTGTCGAGGTAGATCAATTAGTACAAACTCACCGCGGCTCGGACGTTTTGGGTTGAACAATGCACCGGAAAGTAAAGGAAGATTTTTGGCGGAAAAATGCATTTCTGCGATCCATTATGCGACCGCATAATCACTCCGCGGGCCGCATAATGGTCGCAAAAGTGAGGCAGAAGAGGGCCGGTTTGGATGAAATATGCGGTCGAATATGCGACCGCATAACTGTTCTGCGGTCACTATGCGACCGCAGAACAAGTATGCGGGCCGCATAGTGACCGCATACACAGACAAATATTTTCCAGTATTGGACACCGATTATGCGACCGATATGCGGTCCGCATAACCATTATGCGGTCGCATATGCGACCGCAGAATCTCTTCCGGAGCTTCATTTTTTTGATTTTTATAAACCCGGCCCCATTCTTATAAAATACTATTGGGGGTCATTTTGAAAGTTTTCATCTGATATTTTAGAGAGAGAAAGTGAAAACTTAGTCATTTATTGTAACGACCCGACCGGTCGTTTCAAGAGTTATAATTCTGTTTTTTCCATTTCTACTTCTTTTTATGTTATTCAGCTATATTATGTTATATCGGGTTAGTGGGTTCGAGTCCGAAAGGAACTCGCAGTGAAATGAGACACTTAGTCTCATAATTGAAAAATTGAGTTAAAAAAGTGGACCGGATATGG